CCCCCCCCCCCCCCCCCCCCCATAAGCACTCTGCAGGCTTCAGCAGGGCTAGAGGAAGGGAAAAATGCCCACCTTTTGGTGAAAAATGGGGGCATTTTTGCCTTCCCCCAACCCTGCTTAATCCTGCAGAGTGTTCCTGGGGGCCGGGGAAGACAAAAACTTTTTTTTTCTTACTTACCTCTTTGAAATCTTGGTGCGTCTTATACACTTATAGTCCGAAAAATACGGTACATTGTGTTTTCCCATCGTGTTTGGTTTTATTCCTAACCTTTCTAAATAATTTTGAAATCAATTTTGGGCTAGTCATCCGTAATTCAACCGCTCGCACTTACGCGACATGGATGCCAACTCGCGAGGCATGTAGCCCTCGGTGCCCATCTGATGCCAGGTGCCAGTAGCAAAGTTGTATCGCCAGAGTTCCCGGAAGAGAGGGTAATCTTCGTTCTCCGGCCCTCCAGATTCATCGTAGTCGGGATTGTATCCGCCAAACACATACAGGTTGGCATTGTCTGCCACGCAGCGGTGGCCGCTTCTGGCTGGCGGCACTCGGAGGCCTAAAGCAGAATAAAGACCCACTTGTCACTCAGAGAAGAGACAAAATCAACTGGGGCAAAACTGGGCGATGCAGGAAATGGAGCGCTAAGGCTGTGGGGCAAATACCACCATGGATAAAATCCCAGCATCCTCCAACGAAGTACCTGCGACAGCCAGTTTAGTATTAAGGTGCTGGCCTAGGAACCAGGAGACCGGGAGTTCTAGTCCCAGTTTAGGCATGAAAGCCAGATGGGTGACTTTTGGGCCACTAGGAGATGTTGAGTTCTAGTATGCCAATCACCAGGAGACAGTGAGTTCTAGTCCTGCCTTAGGCATGAAAACTATCTGGATGACTATTTTGGGGCAATCACAAGGAGACGGTGAGTTCCAGTCCCGCCTTAGGCATGAAACCCAGAGGTGTAACTGTGGGCCGGCCATTCTCCCTCAGCCCAAGGCAGCTCGGATGGCTGTTGCTCTGAGGAAAATAGGAGGAGGGAGGGGTATTAGGTGTTTGCTGCCTTATTTATAAAAATAATAATAAAAGCCAGGATATTAATCAATCAATAACATATGTAACGCTGCATCAGAAAGCATCTCTGGAGAATTTTCACTGATATGTAGCTAGGATAGCAAGGATAACAAGAGGAGGGGCACAAGGCTAGGAATACAGAGTGCGACCTGCCGCTGATGAATTACTTGGAACTTCTTCCTCAAAGTAGCACAAAGTTCTCCTTGTAGCAAAAACAGGGCTGAACCTTCTAGTACAGTGGTTCCCAAACTTGGCAACTTTAAGACTTGTGGACTTCAACTCCCAGAATACTCCAGCCAGCTCTGGCTGGAGAATTCTGGGAGTTGAAGTCCACAAGTCTTAAAGTTGCCAAGTTTGGGTACCACTGTTCTAGTACTTAAGGTTTATTTAGGGCTGCGCGCAGCACTTCAACCACCCAAAAGTGCACCAAAATAGAACTTCCCTCCAATTCAACGCCTTGGAGGATCGAAGCTTTCTTCCAGAACTGCTGGAATTCCAGCTCCTCTAACATTTCATTCGACTTTTGGGAATTTAACCTATACAACTCCACTAATTATAACCTTTTCGGTGCCAAATGGGAAACCCGCTTCTGTTAAGGGTAACCCCATTTACCTGGGTCTGAACGCGTGCAAAACACAATTTGTTTTGGAACAGAATCATAGACAGCCGGGTGACTTTGGGCTAGCTAGTCCTTCTCTCTCAGCCCAACCCACCTACGAGGGTTGTTGTATTGGAGAAAATAAGGGAGGGAGGAGTCTGAGGTATGTTTGCCACTCTGAGATGTTTAGGAGAATATAATATAGGTGGGATAGAAACGACATAAATAAAAATTTTTTAAAAAGGACCTGAACATTGCACGAGTCAAAAAGAGGACTGAGAAAGTATCTACAGACCCCTCACATCCTGGACATAAATTGTTTCAACTCCTACCCTCAAAACGACGCTATAGGGCTCTGCACACCAGAACAACTAGTCACAAGGACAGTTTCCCCCCAAACGCCATCATTCTGCTAAACAACCAATTCCCACAACACTGTCAAATAATTTACTACGACTGTATTACTACTATTCTTCTCTTCCTTCCGAATATCTATCTCTTCCCACTTATGACTATAACCATGTTGCTTATATCTTTATAATTTATATTATTTGTTCCTAGTATGACTTGATAGCTTATTAGCAATCTATGGCTATTACTAAGCGTTGTATCTTACAATTCTTTATCTTATGATTCTTTATGAATGTATTGTTTTATGTACACTGAGAGCTTATGTACCAAAGACAAATTCCTCGTATCCAACCACACTTGGCCAATAAAGAATTCTATTCTATTTTCCTATTCTTTCCTATTGCATTGTATGGTAATGGTAATGGTTATGATATTCTATTCTATTCTAAATAACGTACGCATAAATTATTTTTAAACTAGCTTAATACCAGTAACGTGCATTAGACCAGTCTTTTTCAACCTTTTTTGTGCAAAGGCACACTTTTTTCATGAAAAAAATCACGAGGCACACCACCATTAGAAAATGTTAAAAAAATTTAA